GCCGTACTGCCCCGCAGGAGTTGCAGCAGTTTCGCAAAGCAATGACAATGATCGCTGTGGAAGGCAACCGGTTGCACGCGCTAAAAATACGACCGACCACGCCGAAGAGGAGTTAGTTAATGCGCCAAGCCGGTCAGAAACTGTTCCGTCGTTATTAAGTTAAACGTGAGCCGAACGGGTAGCCTGGCGCCGAAGTGGACCCCGAAAGTGGACCGTGCGCGTGCCGGCTCCTTTAGAATGCGATTCTCTTGCGTTCATTAGTTCTCTTAATCCTGAAACGGTTTTGCTTGACATTGCAGAAATAATTTTATCTACAAAACTAGGAATGTTTTGGTATTTTTAAAAACGATTCTCGAGTTAATGTTTTTTAGATCTAAGGAAAGCATTTTTTGTACAATACTTTTGTTTTATGGTCTCTGTTTTATTTTTTCTGCCTGCTTCTCGGAGGGAAGGGAGAGCGCATGGTTTGTTTCCACATTCGCCGTTGTTATTAGTTATCAAAGTTATTGAGGTCTGCTGGAGCAATAGCGGCATTTCAGGTACGCCTGTAATCTTTCGCGGAGAAATGCAAGGAGATTCAAAGAGTTCGGCCTCATAAAGAAACACGTTTTTAAAGTATGATGTTATGGGCCGCGTAATGTATAACATCAACCCTGATAAGATATAAATGTAGCATACAGCGAATCGTTATTGCTGGTAATAAGCCGCGACGTTAAGAGCCGGTCACAGTGTGGTTGGCGTCCGAAACCGTGGCAGTCGAACAACATCGTGTTGCAACATCTTTTTACCACAGCGCTTTCTTCGGTCCATTCGTAGCGAAATCGCGAGACACCTGCGAAAATGGTTGCCACGGAAAGCACGAGACGCGCCCGGTTCACGATGAAAGTAGACGGCTTCGATAGCACAGGTGCGCAGTTCATACAATCCATCTTTTCTCTTTCTTTCTTAAGTTTACTATAACAAAATCTAGCAATTTCAAGCTGCATTGTAAAATATGTACAGCCTGCATCAGTTTCTGACAAAAGAGTAATGATCAGTTGATTGATTTTTTGGTCAATACAGCACTTTGTTTTCCAGCAGAAATCAAATTATTGTACAGCTACCTAAAACAATTCTCGATTCACTTGGTCTCTGAACAGTTCTCGTCCTCTCAACATTGACAGTTTGACAGCTAAATATCTCGAACTATGAACTAAATTTAAATTTCAAATCCTGACGAACACAATGATACAATGACATTACATAAAATAGAATAAGATAATTCGTATAACAGTATTTGAACCCGATTTTATAAATAATAATATTCTGTAGTAACCTTATAAACAAATAATTACAGTTCTCATTAACAAAAAAAGGTGAAATAATGTTAATATTATTGACTTAATTTCCGATCTTTTCCCTGTCCTCCTCTAGATGTAATAATGTATCAATTACGTTCTACTCTATCCTGCGCGTGTTACGCTGAAGATCTTCATGTGATATATGTACATATATGTGCATTCAACTATTGAAAGGGCTGACCCTTTGTAAATAAAACAGCAGCTATGGTCATTCAGGCACAAAAGGGTCAAATTTCTAATTAGGCAAATCGTCCACTGCCCGCTCGGCTGTGATAAAAATGAGCAGACGTGAACGGAGTTTCGAGGATACCGCGTATAGACGATAATGCCGTAGATATTTACGAGCGAGCGAAGAGGACGAGCTGGCCAGAAGTCGGCAGGTGCTCGTGGCAAAAGGTGGTGTCCCGAGACAACCTTGAGAGAACGTGCACGGGTCGTTGCTTTCGGCCAGCGAACGATGAGAAACAAAATTAGTCGCCTTTGCCGAACGAGCTTGCCGTAGGATCGCTACGCCGGCGCCGTTGTTCATTCGCGAGAAACTCAGCCGCTTTTGTGGAAACGGTTCCTCTTTTTATTTCTCATTTTACGCCACAGGGAGTACTAATGACGAATACCTAATTTGTCAAATAATTGACAATGGCGACGAAAATGATGACGAATTGCATGGTTTTCAGAAATCTTCTTCGATCTGCGTTTATACTTTTATTATAAGCATTCAGGTATTTTATTATTCTATATACTTGTTTATTGTGTCCAGGTACAATCGGTAAACGAAACGATCTCGACCACTCGGTTGACGATGTTTTTCTACGGATTATCTAGCCAGTTGTATGCAAATTTTTTATACCTGCTTGGTAAATATACCTAGGAAAGGTCGGTTTATTGAACAAGGACCTTCCGCTGCACCTGTCGTTCGAATCGGTTTATTGGGCACTTCACTTTATCCAAAGAATACGTTTTTTTTACAGTCGTCTACAATATTTGCGCTTGCACTCTGTTTGACGTTTCGTTGCTGTTTCGTTTCACTGTCGCTTTTCTCTTATTTCCAAAACTGCGATGAATGAACTTTACGATAACAATAAATCAGTCGAGTTTTTGACTGGGTAACGTTAATATTTTACATCGGTATCTCGAACGATTAGGTGTTGATAATAAAAACGTTTGATAATCTGAAATCATTCTGTAATGCCGTCGACTGTTGATGGAGGATATGGTCTCGATCGTGAGCGAAGGCCCGACTAAAAATCGAGCAATCGGCTGGGTCCGTGTGGAGGACGAAGGGTCGTCGGCAGAGAACAATGGAACACGGTTGCATCTTGGTTCAAGGTCGAAGCGCGTGCATTTAAGAATCGGTTTAGGCCAAATTCCCCTTTCCGCTATGAACAAACAAACAATTTTCGTAAAACAGGTGACAGTAACAATGGAGAACATACAAGTAACGTTAGTAATAATTACTCGTTGTTCCATGTCAGATTTTCTTTGGTTTTGGAGAAAAAATGAGTACTTTTTGCATTTAATATTGGGTAACAAACTGGTACCGTTTAAGATTGTTCTCTTATATTTGATAAACGTACAATAAATAGAGTTTTCAGTCATACTCGACTTATGCAACAGTTAAGATTTGACTTTTGTTTAGGCATTTCGTTTTAATGTGCGTGAGATTTACGTTCAACTTATTGTTACCAATTGCGGTGGGAAAAAGTAGACAACATTAACTGGACGTTGATCCGTGATCTACAAATCCTGCACACATTCCTGCGCAGTTCATGGACAGAGTTCAAGGACGATATATCCGTGGAGCTTAACCTAGCTTAACCGAAGAAACTCCTGATACCTCGATTACAGAAAGTTAACCATTCTGCAATATTTTGCAATGTTTGGCTACAATTACCATGTACCAATATCTGCGATGCCGAGACATTTCTAAAAGTTTCGGGTTGCTATATTAATATCGATTGTCACATGAGTTCTATTTTTTGCATTTCATTCATTTCTATACTGTACGGGTTTTCATGAAAAATTGGATGAAAAGAAATTATTACGACACTTTTCCTGTGTCGAACATTTGATAAAAGCGCTTGATTGTACGAGTCAAAGAGATGCAAGCTTTGAACGAGATAACAAGCCTCAATGAAGATGACACAGGTATGTAAGGTAAATGTGCCAATTCCCACCCACGTCCCAATTTCTACTCACTGACGTATTTTTCTATGATTTTAATTTAATAAACATATCCACTAAGTACAATAAACAGTGTTTGCTTTTGCGACGAGATATGATTGAGTACGTAATTACGAACACTGGTGGTGTGTTTTATTTTACGAAACGGGTGAAAATACTTATTTTAAGTTTAGATTTTGATTTACAAATTGTTTTTATGTTGAGTTGATAGCGAAATCATGCTTAACTAAGTAGAAATTGGAACAATAACCTTAGTAGGTTTATAAATTAGTTCATAAATGAGTAATATGTGATGTATATAGAACCATGGTCACGGATGGACCCACATGAATATCGATATATGGGGGGTTCTGAGAGCTGAGATTCCCTTTTGAAATGCTCTTGACCTCGTATCTAATTTACGGCGTCATACGACTCTCAAACGATCCAACTACGGTTCACGACTCGTGCGATACCTTACCATTATTTCTCTACAGCCGTAAATTTCCTTCCTGTTGCATTTCCCTTCAGCCGATGTATCGCGTGATGACTAGGAGCACTACGAGCACGAGTACAGACGAATGTGTTCGCCAGGACACCCTGTATATAATCAAACATCCTTGACGGGGTTGGAGGTAGAGAAAAAGATGCTGGATCGAAATTGAGCGTGAACGACACTGCACGTGTCGGAAAATGCAATGTGCAAATTGGGCGAGTAAAAGTAAACAGAAGTATACTGCTTGGATTTGTTGCATTTTGTCAGCACATTCCGTACTGGCTGTAAAAGGTATATAAAGTTTAGGGAGAAGAAGGGCGAATTAATATTTTATTTTTGCACAAACTTGATAAACGACGAATATCATATTATTTAAAATTTTGTACTTTCATATCATAAGACTATTAAAAGAGGAAGCCTGAACCTATACACACTTTTCCATAAAATCGTGCTTCCATAAAAAATCAATACACACGAGCGATCGTCCTACGGTAGGGAATTGCAATTACAATCAAACAGAGACGAGGGGTGAAAGTTGTGAGTAATTAAATTAAATCGTGGCCAGTAATCGACTGTATAGAAGTGCGTCCATCGACGTCTCGTATACGCGAAGAGATGGAGCTACGAACCCGGACGCTCGTCCCGGGGTCCGGGGCTCACAATCACAGCCGTGGAAAATCGGTGGTGCAGCAGCCGGCGTTCTAGAGCGGATCTACAGGGAAACTTCGCGAAGGGACGAGCGGTGACACGGAGGGGGTTGAAAGCCGGTAGGGAGGGTAGGGAGAGTGCACGCGGCCGTGTTCAGAGGTGAACGAAGCTCAGTGCTATCCGCCGGTAGGTGCGCTGCTACATTGTGTGCCGGTTGGTTCATCGAGTGGTGGGGAGGGGTGGTACAACGCCACGTGACCGTCTCGACCAATCTATTTGCCGTATAGCCGGCGTTCGGCACATGGCGGCTCACCGGCTTTAGCATCCGCAGTCGCAGTACGTCGCAGTCAGTCGCAGTGGTAACACGAGTAAGAGGGTAGTTGCACGCGCCTGCCTTCGAAAGGAAAGATCGCGCTGAGGGGGAGAGAAAGAGAGAGAGAGAGAGAGATAGAGTGTGAGAGTGCGAGAGTAAAGCGAGATCAAGAGAGAAAGAAAGAACGAAAAAGAGAGCGCGGCGCCCCTTGCCACCGTTTTCAGTGCTTCAGTCGCGCGACAACGCTCTCGGTCGCTTCAGTCAGTCGGTCGGTGACAAGGCTCCCAAACGTGATACACGCGCTGTTTCGTGACGTTACGTCGTCCCATTGAAGGGGAGAGCTAGAGCGAACGAAACGGATAGAAACTGAACCGGAGAACAAACGAACGAAATTGTATCGGTTTTTGAAACAGATACGCGACAAGCGAGAAATTACAATACGCACGAACTCATCTGAGAGCAACGACTTTGAAGATTGCTAGTCGCGCTCTTTAAAATACACGAGACTGTACGAACGGTTCCGATCGCGGTTCGAATATCGAGAAGGCCATTTTCGTAGCACACGCACGGCTTTTGCACGCGGTGAAAGAAAGCGCGCGCGAGTGAGATAACTGATCACCGAGAAAAGGACGTGCGATTTGAACGCGAGATTACGGCGGATATAGTAGCCGATACGATTCCAGTGTACGAACAACACTCACGCGGTGCGTTCCTCATACACGCAGCGTAGCACGCAGGGGACGGGACGAAAAAATAAGTAGACGGAGAAGCGATCACCGGCGAAGCGGCGATTTTATTTTTGTACGGTGCATCGTTGTTTTTCCTACGTACATTTTCTCGTGGATTGCGCACGGGAACAGTATATTAGACCGCTCCCGGTTTCATCGAGTGCAGCGGTATCGTCATCGTCGTAGTCCTCTCATCCTATATAATCCAGTGTGTGTGACAGTGCGACACGCGCGCGCGTGTGTTTCATCGTTTTTCGACCGTTTTCAATTTAGACTCTGTCCCGCGGTACATCTCTCTGTTCGACCGTTGATCGTCGACGATTATTTACGAAAAAACGTGCGAGAAATAGAAATTGGAAAGACACGGTCTGTGAGAAGGGACGCGAGACCATCGACAACGACTATCATCCGGGGAAAATAGTGAAAATCGGTGAACAAATAAACTGTGATCATACCTATCAGTGCGCACGTACATACGTTCGATTGACTTTGTCGGTGCGAAACGAAACGCGACACTTTAGTTGAATAAAATGCCCACTAGTTTGTTCAGCGAAATGGACCGCGGAGCGAACGGCGGTGGCACCGCATCGCTCGAGGATCAACGAGCCCTGCAGTTGGCACTAGAATTGTCGATGCTTGGCTTAGAAGGTACGCCCGGTTGTCCAGGTACCGGCACAGGGACCGGCAACGGAACGACCAACGATCCGGATCCTTTGCAAACGACACCGGCAGGCGTTTTCGAAGAGGCACGCTCTAAGAAAAGCCAGAATATGACCGAATGCGTGCCGGTGCCCAGCAGCGAACACGTGGCGGAGATTGTCGGCCGACAAGGTAAGCACCAAACATAACCTCGACTTCTTACAATCTTCGTCGTTATACGTAACGTATTTCCTTTAGTAAACATATACGAACAGTGTACATCGTACAAATGCGACATATCCTCAAAATATCGATAACGGTTAATCGGTATGAACGATAAGTTTTAAAGTCGAAGAATGAACGCGATGAGTTACGATTCGTTAAATTGTGATTCTACGAGAGATCAAAGAATCTTTTGTATCATACATACACCGTGTGCCATATCGGTTAATTATCGCGAATAGGAACTTCCTGATCGATTTCATTACGAAATACTCCATAAAATTGTAGCACTATTCTGGAGATAAAATCGCATTGCGAACACATGCTATATACATAATACAACTAAAACGGAGCGACAATACCATGTATAGGGAAAAGTTGTCCCGAATCATGCCCCGGCAACATATTTCATGATCATTGAAATCTATCAGGAAATGTCTGTTAATACATATAAATATTATTCGCGTATATCGTGTACAATGTACGCCCAATGTAAAATACTCTAATTTCTTCGAAAATTTAATTACATGTCTGTCTACGTTGAATTAAATATAAAAATTTTTTGATTTTCATATTGCGTGTTAATGAAAATGTTCTTTATACGATGTTTTGTTTTATACGATGTTTGTATTATATCAGTGAGTACATGTTATGGACGATTCGTCAGCATAAGTTATTTAATTCGGGAACGTTCACCTGAGCGTTTAATAAATGACGAAATATTCGCTGACAGTGTCGTCGGAATATATTATAAAATCCTGTACTACGTTGAACATGTGTATCTGTGCTACATACATTTACGTAAGTTGCGTACTTGCGTAGTACGTTATTTTACATTCCTCGTTACCGGAATCTGTCACGTATAGCACCGCTGACAGTTCATTGGCACGGGCGTGCATGCGCACCGCGAGAAACGCGTTATGTATTTATTAAGTAATGGTGCAATTAAACCAATCTAACTTCGAAAAGCAAATTTGTTTGGAAGCTCCATGGTCCGTCGTCGCGTCGTTGTGTCAGTGAACTCTGTCGTAGGTCGCGGACGGCCACCTTCGCGATCGAGTCCTTGCACGTTTATCTCAATTTTACGCAACCGTGTACACTGTTTGAATGTCGTTCCATTATGTGTAGTTAGTAAAAGTGGATATTTATACTTCTCGATTTATCGCAATTGGCAACGTCCAGCGGTTTACGAACAAAGAATCGTGGTATCATCGTGGTAGGTGTATAAAAGCGATGACATTTTTGTAACCTTCATTAGAGTAGAGCGCAGACGTTTCTCGAAACGAAAAATCGAGCTTGTCGCGTTTCTCATTCTTGCCGGCAACCATACTGGGATTCTCTTGTTTTTTCTACATCATGACTTCCAGGAAAGGTGTCAGGAATAGCAACGTCATACTTAGTCAGGCTACCTAAACGCGACGCATTTGTAACGTGCATCGTTTATGAATTTTCGTGTTCACTTAAGGACACATGTTTCGAATGTTTCTTAAATTGGTATTTTTAATATGGAAAATTCTTGTCCACGATATCAGTTGCCTGTTTATTCTCGATTTATTAATGTCTACAAAATGGAATATATTAATTGTTAACTCGTAATTGAACAATGTTTATGGTGTTTGAAAGCCGGCCGTACGCCAGAGGGCACCAAACGTGAATACGGCCGTTAAACTCGGTGAATTTCAAACAAAACGTTGGGCTGGAAATTTTTACGAGCATCTTCCTTCCTTCCAAATGTCAAAGCACGTTCGGATACAAATAAAAATAACAGACATGACGCGGAGGCTACACACCTATTTCCGACCATTTTATATCGCGATATCTACCACGGTAAGTCATGGTCAATAACTCCGTACCGCCTTTCGTTTCGACCGATTCGAGGCGACGCGACGTGAAAATGACAATTTCCCTCCTATTTAATTCTCGTTTCATCGTCCATCCGAGAAGAAACGCGAAGGATCGCCGCTACGTAGAAAACGTGCTTAACGAACGCCGTTTGTCCTCTTTCTCCAAGCGGGCAACGTAGGAAGATAATCTTTCCATTCAACAACGAAATAGTTGCTTTCATTGAACGATCCTAGCCACAGTATCGAGACGCGACAGACGCTTGTCTCGTGCGACGACGCGTTTCGAAATTAAGTAAAACTCTTGTTGGTTGTTCCGCGACGCCACGTGATTTGCCATTTAAGTTCTTAACATCTGTCAGAGATCGTGTGGTCGATAAATAATCGCGTAATTCCGATCGAAGTCGTCAATGCCCCCGGGACCATCCCTTTCGTACTATGCACGCGAGGTTCTTGTGCTTTTACCGATAAATCTCGCAGATTAAAAAACCGTTCTGTTCCTTGGAGATCACTCGTTTATGTCGCACTGTATTAACTTCCTCTCGTCCTAATTGAACCGGGTAAGATTTAACATCTTGTTCGAAAGAAATGTAAGGTACCTATCGACTTTTTGATACTCCTGCTCGATATTTTCGAGCGAAAGTACGACGTGATACACGCGTGTAAATACGCACGCGGAAGGAGTGCGTCTATCGATAGCACGTGCCGCCGATCGATCATCTACAGCTCGTTTCTCGACCGACCGCATCTGTCATCACGTGCAAACACGCGACATAATTTATCCCGCGCAGTATACTTTTGCAAATTCGACATTGGACGGTCGCCAATTCTCTATGGGTGTTTAAAATGTGCATGCATTAAATCCGAACGGATTCTTGTCTCTTTGATCTACTTAACTGGAAATTTTTAAACGACCGAGGAAAGAAAACTCGATCAAAATTAATACGTAAATACTTTGTTAGTACTTTATAATGATTTTATTTGACCGTCACATGATATCGGTAATTTTTAGGGTTTGCACGTATTGATAAGGCACGTGATCTTTGCGTTTCAGCCGAGTTCAATGTCTCGTCATGTATTATTATTACACACCGGAGCTCATTTCGCTATGACTCGTGAGTGAAACGCTGCCCGGCCTCGATATCTGCTCGATAACGTTTTATTATATTTGAATATAATGTACGTACCTACCTGGCAACGGTGTTTCGTTCGGCGTCGTCCAAAGCGGGTTCCCTACGACAGGAGGGAAAACTACGAAAATGGCGTGTTGTGAGAAGGAAGTCGTATAGTGCTCGCTGATCATCACGTGACTCGGGTTAATATTGACCGTTCAATAACATTAGACTCGGAGTCGGGACACGTTAGAACGGTGTCAAGACTGTTCATATTTTAAATTCAGAGCCCGCCACGGATTTCCGTATGTGTTTATCGCGTCCCTTCCGTTCGGGCTTTCTCGTAACCTCTTTGCAAGTCTTAGATCTTTACAATTTGAGAACCGCTGCCTACGTCGTGTGCCGAAACGCGCGATAATGCCGCTTGTGTTCACCGAATGATTAACATATTCTAACTTATACCGACTCTCGTTTATTGTATATTTATAAACATCAATGAATTTGCAGAAGTAATCGATTATCTATGCATCAGTCAATTGGAATCAGGATCGGTTCAACTTAGCATAATGCGTAGAATGGTTTGTTAGAAAAAATAGAACTGTACTATCATACATAGATTGCCGAGAAAACTATTTGATAACGCTGACGAGACAGTAGATAACGCAGCATAATGTAACACAAATCTCGCGACACTTTCGATCTTTTCCCCGCGGTTAACGGACTCGTTTTGTCGGGAACTCCAATTTTCCGTTGTTACATAAAATCTGTCCCCGCTTCCTGCTTTCCCGGCTCTGCTCCATCCTTTGGCCGCGGGATCTTCATACGAGGTCCGTTTTCTCTCTTAACGTTGCATTGTGTCTCGTAGATCGGACCGCGATCCCTTTTTTTTTTCAGCGACCTGTGCAGCCCGCCTCGGAAACCAGTTTAACATACCTGGCATGAATCATTGGTATAGCGCGACCAGGTTCCCGCACTCTCGCACGCTTAAATCTCTTACTACGTGGCTCTCTTGAGATGATGCATGCCGATTCCCCGACGCGTGTGCACATGTGCGTATCATTGTGCGCGACGACGATCCTTAAGTTGTCTAGACACTGGTTTATAAGAAGCTCATACATTTGAGCACGTTACAAGCGGAATAATGATTTTCATAAAACCCACCGCGGACGTTATTATAAATGAGTATTTAGTATTTCGAGTCGATCGTTCAATTTTAACGGAAAGATCGCATCTTTCTGTGGAACGTAATCGTGTCGATTCAATAATGACGTCTAATGAGTTTGATACGCCGTTCCATTATGAGGATGTGGCTATTTGTTGAGCATTTTCGCTCGATTCTCGCTCCTTCTCTCTCAGTTGCGTTTGCATCTTACTCACACCGGCTCTGTACTCTGTCTCATTTTCTCCTCGACAGTCCACGCTGCTGGTTCTCCTCCCCTCGACCTCGCCCCGCGGTCTCTCTCGCTCCCTTTTTCTCTCATTCTCCTGTTACTCTCTTTCTAGCTCGTTCTCCTGGACCGGAAGTTGTAATGAGCGCCTACGTCGCCAGGCTCGTCGCCTCGTGTCGCATCGTGGCGAACGATGACGTTACTTTGGAAACATCATGCATGACTATCCAGGTCGTTAGCTGCAGTATCGCCTAAAGCCGTGTCTCTATTGCCGTTTAAGACATTATTACTTCTTCATCCAATACCTGTTTTTATCTTGTTCCTGAACTATCGGCTGTAAAAATGCCTATTGTTAATTGTACAAAATAGCATATAAAAAAAACTTGTGCAATGAATTTTCTGGTCGTCGTACTGTACATTACTAGTCATGATAGGGAAGAACGGAACGCTGTTAAACTGTCCCTCGATTATGTTTAACCGTGACACACGCGCCGGGTGACAACAGCACCGGTTACACACACGCACGATTCGTAGAGCTCGCGAATAGCACACGGCTTGGAGGAAACTTTCTCCAGCAGAGAAGTGCGGAGGCGAACGCGTGCGCCAGCTGCAAGAGGAGAATTTTGTTT